ACAAATTCCGATCTCTATCAATTTCAGAGAATGCATCAGAAATGTAATCTTTCAGTTCATTCACTGTAGTACGAAATAAGGTTTCAGCATTATTTTCTATGATTTACATGTATATTTAAAACGTGATTGTGAAGGAGAAACAAATAATAGAGTAACTGTAACCCTACTTTTGGCCCACCCTGTATAGCTAAATTTCTCTGTTGTAAACTTTGTTTCAGCAACCAAGTACAGATACATGTATGTAATCAAATTACGTGACCCTAACAAAATGCAGACATCATCGGCTGTCAAACAGGAAGTCCCAATAGTCATTCTTTGCTTATTGGAGATATCATATCTATCTGACTGGTAAGGGGTGGGCCAAAAGAATAGTATCAAAACCACTGATTTTGGAAATGTTTTAATTTGTTGAGTATTTAGAAAGGATTGTCTATTGATAAAACTCAATTCAAATCTATAATCGAGTCAAAGTTCAAAGTAAAACACGAAGTAGGAATGGGTAGAATGACGGCCATAACTACTTTGAGGTTGTACCATGTCAAAATTCCTACCTTGTTTCTTTACTTTTTTGTATTACCATTCCTACTTCCTACTTTTTTACACTTGTCTCACAACTTTATTTGGTACTAAGTCTCGAGAGTGACTAGGCTCTAGGCCTATCCTTCTCGTAGCTTTTCTTAGAACTATTTCTCTACATTTCCTGGCTTTTGCTAATATCTGTGCTATACACAGCCAAGGTGGCTGCTTTTTCCATGGCTGGATTAATGGCTAACTCTTGTTTCGCAGGTTCAGCATTTCTGCTACTAATCTTACCTCTATTCTTACAGTAATGCTCTCTTCGGTAGAAAAAATACAAATACTCTTCATGGTTATCAACATAAGATTTTCTCCATTTCTCTTGTTTTATTTCCTTGGAATTTTTTTTAAAAAAACTGCACTATTTCAAGTACAATCTTAGATATCAATAGGTCACATTTAGTTTGAAAACAATCCAAAGGTAAATTATAAAACTTATCATTCTTGTTTTAAGTCTAGTGTGCTATAGAAAAGCTGTGTCAGATTTTCGAAGTGTAGGGTTCGTCCTCATGTAGGAAACTCACGTCTTAGGCACCGACTGCTAAAGTTGAATTGCTTTGTCCAACACAGAACTCTCGAGTCAGATATATGGAACTGTAAATATGGAAGGAAAGCAGCTAGTCAATTCTTGGGTTACTACTTACCACCGAAACGTGGGATTGACCAATACATTATAACACCCCACAGCTGAAAAGACGAACATATTTAGTCATGGGTTTCGATCCCGCAACCTGCAGATTACGAGTCGAGTGCCTTCGCCGCCAAGCCACGAGATCAAAGCTGAAAAACGTGATTCAGTCCACTTTGCCAGATGTCGCATTGTTTGTATACAGCCGTGCAGAAGTTTGAAGTTATGTGTAACGAATAAATATGTTGAATGAAAAATGATTGGAATTGACTTATTTTTATCAGGTTACTTTAGTAATAAGTAGCCCGACGAAGATCTGCGCAAACAGCCCGAAACGTTGACTATAACTTTCTGGACATATACAGTCCATTACCAACAACTTTTAATTATAATCAGTAACATTTTATCCAGAGTTAGGATTGTTTATATACAAATACACTCGATATCCTTGCTCCTTATTCAAGAATTTAGAACACAAATTAAAAATGTATTTGTCATTGGGAACACGATTTAAATTTCCTGATTTATACTACCTTAAATATGGTAATTCCAAAGCTGGAAATCTTATCAACCGAAATATAGGTTTGATGTATAAAGATCTGAACTTCAAAATATGTAGCTTAGACAGACCCAAAAGTTGCATGATCATTTAGGAACCAGTTATTTATTTATCGTTTCAATGGTAGAAAAATACTCTTTTTTTATTTTTTGTTGTCCATGGTTTAAACCGGTTTAGCCACTATTATATTTTAAATAAAGTGCAAAAGAGCTTGAATAAATGCTGATTCAGTGTTGTATCCGTACATATGTTGTTGCTTAGAAAATACGTTATTGAATTACGATTTCTTTGACATTTAATATACAGTTTGAAAGTAAAGAGCGAAAGATGGAAAGCATTCATATAGGTACGAAAAACAGTATAGGAAAGATGACAAAAATCTAAGTTTTACTTCGGCTTTTATATGTGTATATATTCCGCACTATAGCTTTCAGATGTATGATATATATTAGTTTCTTCTTGATTTCAGTTTTGAACAAACAAATGATAACGTACAACTAATCATTGCTGAGACTTAAGAAAAACAATGAATAATTTTTGACCTAGTTATTCTTTGAAGCATAATATCAGTTTGAGCTATGTTTGTTATGATACATAACAGATATCAGAGCAACGATCTTGCACTGGGATCAATTAACATATAACAAATGTAAGATTTTCCAAGACTCCAGGTTGTTTCTAAGATGCACTTAAGGTCATTGCTGATTGGTTGAGTTAGAGTTTTATGAAGATCTTGACTTCTTTCGTCAGAGAAAGGGATTTTCGTGACAGGGTTTTTTTTCAGTTCAGATTTAATTTGAGATAAACAGGTAATGTAGACCAATAGTTGTTGCTTCTTTTAAACAATTAAAATACGACAGGGAAAGAAGGTGAAAAAAAAAACGTATAATTTTTAGGGCTAAGGGGGAAAGGGGGGGCTAAAACTGCAGGATTTTCAAAGCTATAGACAGGTTGTTGCTGGGCTACCTGAGCTCTACTGATTGGTGGAATAACAATCTAGATGGCACGTGACTGCTCCTTTCAAAGAACAAAACTCCGTGACGACATTTTATATATATATATATCATTTCCACCTGAGAAAATCATCTTTCAGTTGTGGGTCTTACTGCATCAGAACTCACCATGAACATCTTGTGGCCAGTGTTTTTGCTGACATTCCTGTACACGCTAGATACTGGTCATTGCTACATTACTTATATAGAAGCGAGACTGCCTTTACCGGTAAGTATAACTGAGCCAGTTATTTATGAAACTGCGGTGTTAAGATTTTTAGGGATCTATTAAACTTAATCTAACAACTTTAACTGATAGCAAAATAAATAAATTCTTGAATATGCAGAGTAACTTTGTTTATTAAACATTCAACCATCATCTGTAAACCAAGTTTCTACAATTACCAAACAAACTGTTTTTGGAATAGGTTCCTTCAGATACGGTGAATTCAGTTAATATAATATAGTTCAAGGGAAGGCTTGATAAATATTTGGATCATAAGAGCTGGCTTTGAGTGTTTTATTTTTATTTTAGAGTTTAGTTTAGTGGATGGGACAGCCTACGTGGACCAATAGGGTCTTTGTTCTCCTTAAATTATATGTATGTATATATGTGTGTATGTAATGAAAATATTCTCGAAAGAAATGATTTGATAAAGTATAGCCCCAGTGGTAGAGCTGTATGTCTGCGGACTTACAACGCTAGAAACCGAGTTTCGATACTCGTGGTGGGCAGAGCACAGATAGCTCACTGTGCGGCTTTGTGCTTAACTTCAAACAATTGATAAAGTGAAATATTGTAGTCCATGCCATTTTTTACACTGTTGGATTTATAGAACAAAAATTTCGTAAGTTTTGAAAAGTAAATAGATCGAAACTGAACTGTAGTAAACGTCGCTATGAAGAAAATCAGCAGCCGAGAATTAGTAACGGTGATGTAGGCTTACGTAAGCTTACTTTAAGTTCGTTAGTGTTGCAGGTAAAGGAGATTAAAAATAATACCTCATTGATTTCAACACTATTTGAAAATGTAACCTTTATCTTTCAGAAGTATGATGAACTGTTAAACTAAGTAAAAATAATTTTGAAAAACTGATTGATTATAAACAAATTGAAGCCGGAAAATGAAAAAGTGTGTTAACAGCAGAGATTACAAACTTGATATACAGGCTTAGTGAAGTCGAACAACAACATTAAAAACAAGATCTAGTAATCATGGGAGTTTTCGAAACGTTTCAGGAAAATAAAGAGGTAACAGTTGAGAAGTGGGACATAGTGGCATAGAACATCTGAAAAAAAATATATATATACTGTGTTTAGAAATAAATTATCTAGAAATATCAAGAAAACTTATTATGATGATATCTTACTTTCACAAAGTGATACAAAAAGTAAATGGAATTGTATTAATACTTCATTATTGAATGAATCGTCATCAAAACAGTCTATGAATGGGATATAGGCCCGGCATGGCCAGGTGGTTAAGGCACTCGACTCGCAATC